GAGTCCCCTTGGCCGGCACAATAGTTCTCGTCTTTCTCTTCGTCCCACTTGATAACTTCCCTTGTGTACTTGAATGCTTCATCAACAGTGGCTCGATCTCTTGCCTTTGTTTGCCAAACAAAGAGCTTTCTACCCGTAAGGGATGTATAGAGGTCCTTGAACTTCATAGCTACATAGTAGTAAGATTGATGTGCAAGGGATTGGTGGTTGTTGTGGGGTCGAACAGGACTAAAATCGGTGAACCATTCACAAGTGCCCAAAGGAACACGGTTGATCTTCGCTTCAAAGAGATCGTACTTGTTCAGAATCAACACGAAAGGAGTATCTTTGAAACACGGGTGTCTGATCATTGTTTCGAATAGCTCTTTACTTTGGATCATCTTGTTTTGAAGCAGCACACCACCACCATTGTTCTCTACAGAAAGCCATGATTGATCATAATCACTCAAGGCGACACAGAAGACTACTACACGAACATCTTCAAACATCTCAACCCACTTGCAAGCTTTATTCATCCTCTTGCCATTTACTCGAATAAGTTGATACCTGGTGCTCAGAAAACAAAGAAAAATTTAACAAATTGGCTTAAGATAAAAAGCAAAGAAAATTTTGCAACTAGCATATCACATGTTATTGCCAGAATGTTAGGTGGCAGCTCATAACTATTGGAGTGTTCTACTGAGTAAGCCTATCCCTACGTACTTGGGAGGAGTTCTATTCACAGATTGAGATATTTCCTATCCCTACGTACTTGGGAGTTCTATTCACAGATTGAGATGATTTAGGAAATATCATTATAAGGTGCTACTGCTGCGGTCATCAAATTTATCAAAAGTTTCCTTGTTTAAAATTGTCAGTTCAAAATAAAAACTTTAGAAAGTACAAATTACATGGCCAGCAGAGCTGCCAGATGCTTTTCAGTAACCGAACAACTCCAGATAGTGATACTGTTCATCAACTATTACAGTAAATGATCATAAACAGCGTTATAGGAAAACAATTACCTTGTCATAGGTGGGGAAGCAGGTTCTAAATTGTCTGTATAGGTTTCAGACATTGGACTACGATCATCCAGGCAGAACTCCATAAAAGCCAAACCGTTCCCTTGAGTGACCCCTTCGGCGTATAATATGTCACGTTCTGAAGGTTCATAATCATTGCTTGATATCTCAACTGCCTGAGGCATATACAGTCTGAGTAGACATCTCCCAAAAAAAATGCACTTTCAACTTTTGCAAGCAGAAAAATGAAACTTTTTCGATTAGTGTAAATCACCATCTATACTACTGTCATACGTTGTTTATCACCATATCTCTAAGCACAAAGTTTAACAAAAGTTACATAATTGTTTAACGCCTCAACACCACTATTTCAAACTTCAATTCTACCATCCACTTTCTACCATATGTTATCTAATGCGCATGAATGTGTACACGTCGTGTTTTCGCAATTTTTCAATAGTTAGTCTGAAGAAGCAAAGTTTTGGAATTTAAAAGTATAAATGTTTTAACTTTTTGGAAGTGTTGTTCTTTGCCAGACAATCAGAAATAACAAAATAGAGAGCAATGTTGTAGCAGTTTTAAAGGTCAGCATGCTAGACAGCGCTCACGTATTGGGACACAATCCAGGGTAAAATATCAACAGGACATGTCACTTGTTTCGCATAAAATAGATAAAAGTGTTGGCATCCAAAACCATCAAAGATCCATGCAAAAACCCTTGCTATTAGAGAAACTATTAGACAAAATCAGATTTTAAAAAATTAGAACAGCTATCACATTCAGTGTACAACTAAAGGCAAAGGAGTCAGAGAAGATACCCTGCTCAGGAAGTATTCTGCCACATCTGGTAGGAAGTGCAGCTCATCTTTTCTCCTATACGTAGCTTGTATAGCAGGATCTCTCCACACTTCTTCAACTAGTGGAGCATATTCACGTGTTGCTGCAGGAAAGAAAGCATCCAAATCTCCAGTGGCTATAATATCCAGGAGCCAATCTGAGAAATGCTTCAATTTCGTATTGAGGGAATATACACTGTGATTACTTTCATCGAGATTAACCTCTTGACCTGATTGAAGTTCAAACTTAAGACATTAGATCAAGTAAAGAACATTTGAAATTATCTTTTCATCTTAGTATTCATTTCATGCAAAATATTCTTCCAAATTTGTCGTATCATCATTACAATTACCAAATGGGAAACCCTCACTTATTTTAGAGATTAAAGCAGGAAAAGATAATTTACTTTAAAGATCATTGTTGAAGGGTTTGGAGAGAAACTAGGAGTTGGATAGATTTACCTACTCTAGGAAGGTTAGAAGAAAAGTGGTACACTCTGGGACATGAGGTCAGATAAGGTATTCCAATGCACTGGTGGGTCAGTTCTCTGCTTTCAGAAAAATAGAATCTTCATTAGGTCTCTACTGGTTATCACGTATGACCCATTTAAGGCCAGCAATAGAAATTATTCTGGAAGGGGTTAGCAGGGTCATATGTCGTTTGTGGCCCTAGTCGCTGTGGAGCGACCGATTTCACTGTGATTAGGTTTGGGCATGTAAAACAATTTTTAGATCGACCGAAAATGTGAAACTGTGTAATTTATCAGAGTCTAAATTAATGGACATCCATAAAGATAATGGATACTTTACCTGGTCCTATATTAAAGGAAGTGTTGTGTTGTTGGCAACTAGACAGATTTTTGGTCTATTCATGGTGAGATGAGTTCTTTGCTATGAAGAAGCCCCGAGGTTGACATTTTAGGCAAAACCTTAAAGGAAGAAAAAACACGCGAGTTTACGTGGTAGAACACGTGGCCTACATCCGCATGAGGGACAAGAATAACATTGCTAAATAAAAAGGGAGAATGCAAAAAGGTACAACGTACATAATCCCAAATACCCTGCAAAATACATACTACGGGGTAACCAAAAAAATATAAAGTGCTCAAACCAAAATTCCCATAGAGTACATATACTGCATGAGACTCCAAAGGATCTACAAGTCTCACCCTCAAAATACTCCCTGACTATCTCATAAATTGGGATGAATCCAAATAACAAAGGCAGCTCCTACTTATGGGAGACAAAGGTTTGGCAACTATGGGACGCATAAGCAAATCCTATTCTATGAGGGAATTGTATAATAATTCCTATCCTACAGCGGACAAACAAAGCATACTTAATCTACATGGGTTGTCTCCAAAGCCACAAAACAACAATCTTAATAGCAACTAGCTTAAAGGTAAAGTGCGGTGGTGTAAGAACATATCCTACATATGTTTCCTATATGGTGGATCCAACATCATATAGAGCTCAGGTTACAAACTTTAGAGAAATTATGAATTGGTAAAAAAGGGTTTGCATTGGTTAGTTCTACAAAGGCTAAAAGTGTGACTAATAAGTTGGAAGGTGAGGGAGGCATGGTGCTTTGGGAGGATAAGGGTATTGAAAGACAAATCATTTCTTTTTTTGAGAAATCTTTATTCCAATTAGAGTGGTTTTCCATAACAGGGATGAAAATGAATAGCTGGAAAGGGCATTTGAGGTACAGAAAATTAACATGGACTATTTG